TGTGATCTCAATGAAATTTATACTTAAACTTTAGTTTTATAACGAGTGTGAGTGAGTGATACTTTCTTTCTTTCTGTTAAAAAGCCAAACAATTTAAGATACGTCGAGGTGGAATGACTTAATCAAAAGAATAGGATGTAATGAAATATATTAAGTACTAGTTGTTCCTCGTGTGTTATTTGGGGTTTTAGTTTTTTTGCGCGGAACCCTAATTCTTTTTCTGAAATAAAAGTAGCCTAAGTTACTCCTTATGGCATCAGTTATCTGGCAGTGAAAGTCCCGTCAAAATCGGTCCAGCCGTTTCAGAGATTAGCCGGAACAAACAGACAGACAGACAGACCGACAGACAGACAGACAGACAAAAATTTCAAAAATTGTGTTTTTGTTATAAGTATCGTATATACTTTCATATGCATTAAGAAAAAAACCGTAATTTTGACATAACAAACAGACACTTCAATTTTATTTATTTGTACCTATAGATGTATAGATTAGCGACCCGCTCTAACGTCGCCTTGGTAGTCTATACGGCGTAATTTAGATTTAAGATAATCTAAGATATGGTTGCCAACCGTCCTGTTTTCCCAGGACATGTCCTGGTTTTAGTAGTGTCCTGGGTTGTCCTGGATAGTTTTTAAGCAGCGTCCTGGGTTTTTAAAGCGCCCTAATAAGGTCATGTATTTTAAAATTCGCGCGCCACTTTTATAATTCTTATGTTACGGGCCGCCTCACGGCGTTTTTATTTTGTTATCTTTTTTTTATAGGATAGGGTGACAAATGAGCACACAGTCCACCTGATGGTAAGTGGTTACGGTTGTCGGTTCGGTTCGGTTCGCAGTTATGATAGACAAGGCCCTTACTGCGTCCTGATTTTAAACTGAATTGTCCTAATTTTTCCAACTTCAAATCCTAGTTTCTTAAATTTGGGGTTGGCAACCCTAATTAATCTAAGACCACTTATTTCGTTAATTTTTCGTTTTTCCAAAAAAGAACACCAAGTGTTTCGGATATAATTTGGGCTAGATCACGAACAATCACGCAATGTTTACTATCTGTTCGTGAAGTTTAATTACAATCGGTTCAGTCATTTCGAAGATAAGCCCGACAGACAGACGGACAGACAGACACACGTAGATATGGTTATTCTTTTCTAAATATCATAAAAATAACCTCCTCAGCTCAATATAATTCAGTTATTTCGAATGTACATAGGTATAGATCTACAAGTAGTTTTGTAGCAATCAAGTTGCTGCTTCTTCGTTTGAACTTTAAATACAAAGCTGATTTTTTTTTATTAATTGAAGTACCAAACAATTTTACAGTTCACCTGATGATAAGAAGATGCTGTAGACATCTACATCTAACCCAGTGGTACCGTATATTGAATGTGAAGTCGATGGAGTTGCCATTTTATAGCTAAAATGGGTATTTGATAAAAAAATATAATTTGAATTTACGTCTCTTTGTAAATAGCTTACGTGTAAGTACTTTTTTATAGGATAAAGGAGACAAACGAGCACACAGTCCACCTCATAGTAAGTGGTTGCTGTGGCCCATAGACATTTTAACAGTGGTACAGCCACGCGGCAGCTTTTGCTATCGCACGGAAGGGCCGGCTCGAACCGGGGTGGCACCACGACCTCATAGAATACCAGCGTGAAGTAGAGGTTTACCTCTGCGTTTCGATTGGTGAGTGCAGGTGGCCGGAGGCCCTTTTTACTGGAGATGAGGGATTCCATCTTAGTCCTCACGGGTGGCAACGCACCTGCATTTTGATTCGCAAACGAGGATAGATGTAGATGTCTATGGGCCGCAGCAACCACTTACCATCAGGTGGACTGTGTGCTCGTTTGTCACCCTTATCTTATAAAAAAAAAAGATCGAACACGAATTGCTCGCGTACTGTGAAATTTACAGCGAGCGCTTAGCTCATGAGTCATGAGTTACCACGGCCCTATCTACATACATACCTATATAATATGTGGGATGTGGGTAGTGGAGAGTGTGTAAGAACCTCCGAAAGAGGCGGAGTTATAGCCGAAATAAGAATTTTAAATTTTTTGGTTTTTGGCCATTTTGACTCCCTAGGAGTGTAATGATAACTTTTTGCCCCTATTCGAACATGACCCCCATGACATCATCTACATGTTACGTTATTAAAACTAACTAGGCATAAAGTTCGAGTCACTCCCCAACTCATTTCTAGTCTTTACTTCCAAATATTATACTGAAAATTATTTTAACAACTTGTTCTTTGCGCCTACTAGTTTTCTTAATAAGAACTATTGATACGTGGTTTACTCTAATAACAATACGCTATTACAAAGACTTTATCAAAGATGGCACTGCTATTAAACATGGGAATTTTCCTACCTAAGTTTAATTAGTTGCAGGAGCGTAGCTACCGCCGAATCAGCCGTATCAATGATACGGGGCCCCCGGGCTACATGAAACACCCCGAGAGTGTATAAGCAAAAATTCTAAGCACTTCTATGTGACAGGAAAGGCTGTCAGACTTGTCGCTATTGTCTATAGAGGCAGAAAATTTAGAAAAACTGAAATCATCTTCAGCTATGAAGTACGAATGATAATAAATAAGTTCGCAGAACAAAAGGCAAGAATAGTTTGGAAAATCCACAAGTGCACGCCTTATGAGATTTTCATTTAATTTTCAAGTAAATTATATTCCTGACTTTTAAAATATATTATTTACGTGTTTTAAATTTAGCGCTCTATTATTTTTACAGGTAGTGTCACAGTGTACAGGGAAAAAAATAACGATGTTTACTAAATTAAGTCGATTACACAAACTCTTTTACGTGGTAGAGCCATGCTGCAGCTATATTAGTAGTATAGTTGTGGCACGAATGGGTCGGCTCGACCGGGGAAGGACCACGCTCTTACAGAATACAGGTGTAAAATTGACACTGCTGTGTTTCGTATGGTGAGTGTAGAGAACCGGAAACCCTTTTTACTGGAAAAGAGGCATTCCATCTTAGTCCTCTTTTTGAGGATAAATGTAGATGTCTATGGGTCACAGCAACCACTTATCATCAGATGGACTGTGTGCTCGTTTGTCACCCTTATTCTATAAAACAAAAAACTATAAAATCGAAATAGGCTGTTTGGTACATGTGTCCTTTGTCTACCAAGGACTAAAAAAAATTAGACCTTTAAAATTTTTAATAGCAATAAAACTTACAAACTTTAAAATCATTTTACTAACAAACGACGCGTTCTAGGCTATTGTTATGAAATAGGGAACCAGTTGATGTAATTCTGAAGCTAATAAAAAAACCCGGTCTCTATACGTCAATTATTTCGAGAGTTATCGTGATCACATACAAAATCAACATCCTGACGTCCACGTAAATTTTTTTTCAAACCGTTTTTTTTTCAGTCGCAATGTAAAATGATTTTGTAATAAATATAAGATGGATTAATTAGAGTGTTTTCTTGTTACGGCTACTCATATTATCGTATACGCATCATTCTGTGGTATAAGTGCAATATGGTTATGATAGACATTTTAAGAACACTAAATCGCTTGACAAAAAGCACTATCTAATAACGCTTTGCGTTATGAGGCGTGCAAAAGTGTATATTTGATTTGAATTGTTTGGCTAGTTTAGTTCCTAGGAGTTTTGCAAGCGTCTTTGTTCCCTTTGGGAAAAATCTTTACTCTTCATTTGGGCCCCCCAATAAATTTTGATACGGGGCCCGTCTAAGGCACGCTACGCCACTGCTTAGTTGAGATTAGTTTTAACTAATCGGTTAAAAATGAATTAGATGCCCTACATCCCCGGTGTTTTTTTTCTTATAGAATAAGGTGACAAACGAGCATACAGTCCACCTGATGGTACGTGGTATTGCTGTGGCCCATAGACATCTACATCTATCTTCGTTTGCGAAATAAAATACAGATGTGTTGTCACCCCTGAGAACCAAGATGGAATGCCTTGTTTCCAGTAAAAAGGGTCTCCGGTTCTCTACACTCACCATACGAAACAGTAGTATTAAGCTGCTATTTTACGTTGGTATTCTGTGAGAGCGTGGTCCTTTCCAGGTTGAGCCGACCCACACGTGCTACAACTATACTATTAATATAGCCATCTCTACCACGAATAAATATTTAGTGATTACATCCACGGTTTACGGGGCATTGGGTTTGATGTCATGATTTCATAAATATAAGATTGTAACCATGAAGCAAATACTTTGTATTTGCTTCATGGTTATAACCTTGGGTGGTTATAATCTAAAGGTAACAGAAGTGTGGGCCGCCGCTAGATGTCACTAGGTGATATCACATTTTCTGCTAACGAGTCCGTCGCTATGAGACATTTCATCTCATTCATAAGAGGTGACGACGCATCTGCAGCTTTCTTTGTTTCAAGTTGGTTCACCTGCAATCATCTTCAATATCTGTTGCCAAGCAGTACAGTAGCAGTATGTGCACTACTGTGTTGCAATCAGAATGGTACAGATAGCCTGTATAATCACAGGCTGTGAGGCATTCTATCTTAGTCCACATAATACTAGCATAAAATAGCAACATAACGCTGCTGTGTTCCGTATGGTGAATGTAGAGAACCGGAGACCCTTTTTTACTGGAAACGAGGCATTTCATCTTAGTCCTCACGGGTGACAACGCATCTGCATTTCATTTCAAGATTCGTAATTGAGGATAGATGTAGATGTCTATGGGCCACTGCAACCACTTACCATCAGGTGCTCGTTTGTCACCCTAATTCTATAAAAAAAAGAGGTGATAACACATCTGCACCCTTCTTTGTTTGTGGTTGGTTACAGGTGCCAATGGACTGCAGTATTTACTTAATATCAGCTAGGCTTTAAGTTCGTTTGTCATTCTGTTTAATATAAAAAAGATGAAACTGGTAGTAGATGCTGGCTTTGCGGCAATTTATGGGCGTCCTATTTTCTTGGTGGACTTGTGATAGACTCGTAAATAGTGATACTAATAAAGAAAACAAAATTTT